GCTCTGAAAGACTTGTGGGCTCCCCATGTCCGCTTCATGAACCTCTACGGTCCGTCGGAATGTGCCATCATGACCCACTGTGCCCAACTCCACGCCGACGCTCCCATCACCATTGGCCGACCGCTGGAAAACGTCCGCAGCTACATCTTGGACAACGACCAGAGACCTGTCCCCGTCGGCGTGGTCGGCGAGCTGTACTTGGGTGGCATGTGCGTGTCGCCGGGGTACATCAACTTGCCCGACGAGACGGCGGTCTCGTTTGTCCCGGACCCGTTCGTGTCGGGACACCCCAAGATGTTTCGCACGGGAGACCTTGGCCGGCTTCGTCCGGACGGCACGTTTGAGCTCCTCGGCCGACAGGACACACAAGTCAAGCTCAAGGGGTACCGCATCGAGTTGGACGAGGTCGCGGGGGCCATGCTGCACCATCCAGACGTCGTGTCCGCCGCTGTCCTCGTCAAGGACAAGACGCACCTCGTCGGGTACTTTGCGCCTGCGACGGTGTCCGTGGACAGTTTGCAGCGAGTGGTGGCGGCGCACCTACCAGTGTACATGGTGCCGGCGGCGTGGGTGGGGGTGGCCGTGATGCCGCAGAACTCGAACGGCAAGATCGACAAGAACGCGTTGGCGTTGCTGGACGTGGAGTCGGCGGTGGAAGCGCTGGCGACGGCGTCGGAGAAACGGATGGCGCAGATTTGGTCGGACGTGTTGGGGGTGTCCCTCCACGACATTGGTCGTCGCACGTCGTTCTTTGCCTTGGGCGGTGACTCCATGTCAGCCATTCATGTTGCCGCGACTTGCCGCCATGATGGATACGATCTGATGGTGTCCGAGTTTTTGAAATCGCCAGAATTGTGTCAAGCAGCTGAGTTGGCTGAACGGTCGGCTGGTAGAACGTTTCCTGTGGCGCAAGTCGAAACCGCAGTTCTCGTTGGTGGGCTGAAGGATTGGGGCACTCAGCTGAACCTGGCTCAACATGGAGTCTACTTGGCGACATCGCTTCAAGCCAGCATGATCTTTGCAACTCTGAGTCGCCGCGATGCTTATGTCTTTCAGCACCACATGCAGCTGACCAGCACTCTCCATGCTGCACGAGTTTTGTCCGCCTTCGAGCGGCTAGCTCGAGTCCACGATATACTCCGCACAACCTTTGTGAACTTGCCGTCGGGAGTCCATGGAGTCGTCCACGCCGATTTCGACCGCTTTCCAGTGATCCACACTGCCGCAAATTCAATACACGAGTTTCTAGAGTCGGATCGCCGCCGGGGATTTGAAGTTGGAGATGGCAACTTTTCTCGACTGTCGATTGTAGAGCTACCAACAGCCACCTTTAGTGTCCTTACGATGCACCATGCGGTGTACGACGGCTGGACCATTGCCATGCTGCTGCGCGACTTACACAATGTGCTGCACGGAGTACCGTTGGTGCCCCGACCCAGTTTTTGTCGGGTCATCGACTTCATTCAAGCCCAAGACAAGCGCGAGACGGAACGCTTCTGGCGAGCATACTTGAAAGGGGTAACATGCCATTCCCTGAATCTGACGACGTCCTCAACTGCCTCCAACGTTCCAACCACTTCTCCACCATCTGTGTCGATTGCGTTGGACGTGAACGAGATGCGTGCTGCGGCCCGCCGTGTTGGTCTCACGCTCGCGGAATTCACTCGCCTGGTGTGGGCACTCACCCTGCGAAAGTACATGCGACACAACGACGTCGTTTTTGGCCACGTGCTTTCAAATCGCAACATTCCGGTCGTGGACGTCACGAGGTACGAGCCGCATGACCTCGTTCGACTTGTGCGAGCTCCCTGCATCTTCCGTGTAGGATCTTGGGCGCTATGATTAGCACGGTGCCGTGCCGAGTAACTTTTGACGGCACCGATTCAGTCCATAGCGGCATTGCTTGCATTCGGGCAGAACGAGGCGTTGTCGTGGACCACTCGTACGCGAGCCAGGCCGACATCAAACGCTGGAGCGGCGTCGACGGCGCCTTGTTTGACACAGTGCTAGCCTTTCAACAGCTCCCAGAACTCGTGGATTTTGGAGACGGATGTGCGACCAATCTCATCACGGCACCACATGCTGTGGAGCATACCCTCGAGCTGACAATTTGGCCCATCGATACCGACTTGACAGTCGTCGCACGCTACGAGCCAACTCGTATTTCCAACGACCAAGTACAGCAAATCCTGCGGGAATTTCGCCACACAACGTTCCAGCTATGTACGTTGTCCTGCGACACGGATGATCTCCCGGCAGCCTGGGACGTCAGCAACGAGCAAGCCGACTTTATCCACTTGGCATCGCATGGACCCCAAGTGCCATTGCCGCACGAGCTTCTACAACATTCATTTGAGAAGAGAGCGCTGTCCCACCCGACCGCTCCAGCCATTGAATTTCGAGGTGTCACTCTCACGTACGGTGAGCTAAATGAGCACGCCAACGTGATGGCTGCCCAACTGTGCGCCATGGGAGTGTGCGTCGGCCACCGGGTCGGCGTTCTCATGGATCGATGTTTGGAATTCCCGATGGCGCTCCTGGCTGTGGTCAAAGCCGGTGCGTCCATGATGCCTCTAGATGTTGCATTCCCGGCCAGTCGAATCAAGTACATGCTTGCGGACGCAAATGTATCGCTTGTTGTGACGACAGGCGAACATCGAGACGTGGTCGAAAGTTTCCGCCTCGACGTGCCGCTTTTGCAAGCAGCAATTTCGGAGTCACCGGCACATGTCCATCGTGTTCAGAGCAAGTCCACAGCCACGAGCACCGACGAAGCTTACGTTGTATACACGTCCGGGTCCATGGGAAAGCCGAAAGGTGTCCCTGTCACGCATGCCGCCGCTGTCAACGTCATTCACTTTCAGTCGACTGCAACAGGGTTTGTCCCAGGCCATCGAGTGATGCAATTCATGGCGATCGGGTTCGACGGGTTTCAGTGGGATTTGTGGAAAGCTCTATCCAGCGGTGCGACTCTAGTTCTGAGGTCCCATGACTTTACCGCCGACATCAAATCTGTCCAAGCCATCACATGCACCCCAACAGCACTGGCCCAGCTCGGCCACCCAACCGAATACCCGAACCTTGTCGTCGTCTCGGTTGCTGGCGAGTCTTGCCCGGGTGCTCTGAAAGACTTGTGGGCTCCCCATGTCCGCTTCATGAACCTCTACGGTCCGTCGGAATGTGCCATCATGACCCACTGTGCCCAACTCCACGCCGACGCTCCCATCACCATTGGCCGACCGCTGGAAAACGTCCGCAGCTACATCTTGGACAACGACCAGAGACCTGTCCCCGTCGGCGTGGTCGGCGAGCTGTACTTGGGTGGCATGTGCGTGTCGCCGGGGTACATCAACTTGCCCGACGAGACGGCGGTCTCGTTTGTCCCGGACCCGTTCGTGTCGGGACACCCCAAGATGTTTCGCACGGGAGACCTTGGCCGGCTTCGTCCGGACGGCACGTTTGAGCTCCTCGGCCGACAGGACACACAAGTCAAGCTCAAGGGGTACCGCATCGAGTTGGACGAGGTCGCGGGGGCCATGCTGCACCATCCAGACGTCGTGTCCGCCGCTGTCCTCGTCAAGGACAAGACGCACCTCGTCGGGTACTTTGCGCCTGCGACGGTGTCCGTGGACAGTTTGCAGCGAGTGGTGGCGGCGCACCTACCAGTGTACATGGTGCCGGCGGCGTGGGTGGGGGTGGCCGTGATGCCGCAGAACTCGAACGGCAAGATCGACAAGAACGCGTTGGCGTTGCTGGACGTGGAGTCGGCGGTGGAAGCGCTGGCGACGGCGTCGGAGAAACGGATGGCGCAGATTTGGTCGGACGTGTTGGGGGTGTCCCTCCACGACATTGGTCGTCGCACGTCGTTCTTTGCCTTGGGCGGTGACTCCATGTCAGCACTTCGAGTCGTGAAATTGTGCAAAGATGCACGGCTGCATATCTCAGTGTACGACTTGCTGACATGGAACATCTTGTCGCAAGTCGTCGCCACCGCATTGCCTGTCGACGTCGAAGTGGTTTGGCCGTCTATTCAAATCGCAGAGAGTGTGAAAGGACTCGTTCAATGCCGTTGGCCAGAGTATGAGAGCTGCTTTCCTGCCACGCTTGAGCAGGAGTCCATGGTCGGTACCATTGCCACAGCGCCGTCAGCGTTTGTTTTTCAAATGGTTTTGGAACTGGGCCAAGATCTGGACTTGGTTGCCATCAAGTACCAACACCTTGTTGCACAACGCGAGATTCTGCGCTCGACATTTGTCTCGACCGAAGGTGGTCTGTACCATGTTGTTCAGTCGAGCTCGCTGCACGTTCCTGTCGCCAGAGCCTCTGTTGCGACGTTGATGGACTTTTTATCTGCCGATTTACAACGAGCTTTCACCTTGGACGACCACGCGTTTGCCCGATTTACGATTGTTCAAGACGATCGAGGACGTGCACATGGCGTGGTGACTATCCATCATGCGTTGTACGATGGCGCCTCGATAACTATGTTGAGAGGAGACATCGAAGATGCATTGCTCGGACGCCAACTCGCATGTCGGCCACCGTTTCGCCACGTCGTAGAGTACATTGCAGCTCAGGACAGCTCGTTGGCCGAGCGATACTGGACAAGGTATCTCGACGGCATCTGCAAGCCCACGCTTGTTGCATGCGTTCCGCCTTTTATTGACCCACCTCCCATGAACGAGGCACTAGTTGCCACTCTGATCCTGCCAAACATCTCAATCGCGCTCAAACGCATCGACGTGAGCATGGCCGCACTGGTCAACTTGGCGTGGGCTACTACGCTTCGCCGTCAGCTTTGTATCGATGATGTCGTGTTTGGACAAGTCGTGTCAAATCGATCGATCCCGGTGATTGAGGTGGAGAAGACTCTGGGATGCCTCATCAGCTCGGTCCCTTGTCGTGTCGAGTTCGACGCGGACAACGTCACGCTGCTTCAACGCATCCAGACAGAGAATGCAGCCATGCTGCCACATGCTTTGACCCATGCAAACGTCGCGAAGCGATGGGGCCAAGCGGAGTGGACTACGTTCGACACCGAAGTGAGCATTGCCCCCAGCCCTTACTGCGATCACTCGTCCATGTCTTGGTGTGAGCAGCGCGCTGCATCATACTACACGATTGAGCTGACTGTCATTCCTCTCAGCACCCAAGAGCTGTGCGTCCAAGCTAACTTCGACCCGAACCGAATAGATGGACCACGGGCTCGTCAATATTTCGACACGATGCTTGAAACACTACACCAGTTTAACCTAGAAATATAACAGACGATGTGGAGCCGCGCACAACACGTTGATGTTTATACGGCGTGTAAGAGATGCTGAATGCACATTCAGTACACGCACTTCAGTTGTCATGCATTCGGTTGAGTGGATTTAATCGTAATCCTCAGAGGAGCTTGTAATGCTCTTACTGATCACTGTGCTTCTGCCAGCACGTTTGGGCACACCGTTCCCATCGTAGGAGTCGAGGCAGCTCAACCATTTGAGCGCAACTCTCACTCATTAGAGAGGTTCCGCAAATGATTCCATACATTACCCACATGCCATTAGTTCGACAATTGTCGCTCGGCGGATAATGAATGGAATTTAAAAAACCTTGTTCCGCAGTTGTAGTCCAGTAGCCGCTCATGGCCTTATCTCAAAGTGACGGGCTTATGCTCATGGCAATGGCCCGAAGCACACGTCAAAAACGCTTCTTGTTTGCGCTAATGGCTGCCCAAGCAGTCGAGAGACCATTGATTCCCGACATTCGCCTTGATCTTAGCACTCTTAAGTGACGCGAACGCCATTCTTGACTACAGATGCTATATATTTTTAGGAGAATATTCAAATTCGACGTCAGTGGCATACGCCAATTTGGACTCCTACTTGGCTTGCCTGCTGTCATTGTGACGGAAGAACGAAAGCGCGCACATCGAGACAAGCAATATGCATCGTCTTAGGAAGGCTTGCCTTTCCCACACGATTGCATGACATGTCAAAAACGTTCGGTCGTTCGCGGTCGTCACTGTGCGAGATATTTCTCCATGTGATCAACAACACCCTGTACGATCTCTGGGGAGATTTATAGTCAAATTTATAGTGGGCACAAACGCATTCATTGTCTGAATTACCAGGCGATCACTTGCCCTGATGGCATCGGCGTCCACCTTTTGGTCCTATGGAGGGCCGCCGTCACGACGCCACAATGCTTCGGTACAGCCAGTTTCTGTCATTTTTTCGAAGTCATCGCGACCTCTTCGCGTCCTACATTTACGGCGACCCTACGTATGGTATTGTCGACTTTCTCCTCTCTGGGTAAAATGGAAACAACATCGGGCCACTCAAACAAGATTCAATAAGTGGATGCGCCGAGTTCGACAGTCAGTCGAATGAATTTCAAAATTTTGAAGACGTTGTAGTCCTTCATCACGTTCAAAATGCTCTCCAAGATTCAACTTTCTCCTGTGGGGAAGATTGATTCCATTGCAATGCTACTTACGAATTGCCACTGCTGCCATTTTTGTGGAAATCAAATCAGCGAGTTCTTTCATCTGGAGCCACCAACGCTCAAAGAGTACTTAGATATGCTTGAGGTTATCGTCATTTGAAAAAACGAAAAAACACACACTGCATCACATTTTGTTTATAAAAGCATTCATCATTTGCAGCATTGGCTCCTGTTGTTTCATTGTCGCCTCGTGTTATTGTCGCATTTGTTCAGCAAGAACAATTCTGTCCTTTTCACGTTCAATTCTGTCCTTGTCACGTTCCTCCATTTCGCGGCTGAAATTTTCTCGCTGACATTCCACCTCGGACTTGGATTGCTCGTGAAGCATTGTCATGGTCTTCATCATCGTGCCCCCTCCAGTTGCGTTGCCAGGGTCATCTTCGTTCCCTCGCTTGCACTTGCCAAGGGCCGCCATGGCCTCGTCACGTACGAGTGCCCCCATGCTTTCGTTATGCTCTAATGCTTGTTTTGAATCCATGGCACGACGAGTTTCGTCGCCCTTTGCATCTTCATATGCAGCAAGGAGGTCATCCAACAAGGTCACCATTTCTGTTACCTCCTCGTCGACTCCCGACGCACACGCAGATTCTTGGTTTCTCTTTTTGTGGCCGTCAATAAGGGCATTAATTGTTGCTTGCCTTCTTGGCATCGAGGACGTCCAAACTCGTCTGAGGACGCAAGAGACTTGGCGACAGCCGTCCACTTGTCCATTATGAGTCCAGGCGTGCGAGGAAGGGCATTTCGGAGGACACTTGACGGAGCAGCAAGAGATCTTCCTCCTCGGAGAAGTTGCGACGCTTTGCCTTTGGTGGCATGTTGAGTTCGTTTCGAATTGCAATGTATGTAACGATTCCTCACATTCGCCCAAATGTGAGGAATGACAATCAGGTTGTGAAGGTTCCACATCAAACTTGGGGATGACACTCGGGTTTTGTCAACATCTGGAATTATACGCTGTGGGAAATGTATAGATCGTTTTGCGGAACCTCTCTATTGAGGTGCGACCAGACAGGGTGCTTTTCTACAGACAACGACGGAATTTATGGGACAGCCGAAGAAATTTGCAG